CGTTTTTCGTACGTAGGTTCGTTCGGTACGGGTACGTTAGGGTAGTTTTTCGGGTTTTTTTGGGGGGGGGGGGGTTCACTTATTTGCAACTCGGACGATTTTCTGATCAAAGGTAGGTTGCACACATTATATAGAAGCTCTGGCTGCCAACCCTACAATGTCATCCCTGCTCTATTTTACTATGATCATACAGTAATAGAGTTATCCCCCATGATCATACAGTAATAGATTCTGAAGTTATCCCCCGTGCCTCCCCCCCCAAAAAAAAGCTGACTGCTCCCAGAACGCTGGCAAAGGAGGCTAAATTTTCTATCTGTTACACATAAATAAGCACAATTATAATAAAAATTAGAAATGATTACTATCATCACCCATCACTCAATCATGACAGGGGCCGACATTGTTTAGCGGATACGTTTGACCCATTGTTGACGTCACACTTTAGAGAAGTCACATGACAACTCTCTCTGGAGTGATTGCTGGTAAACCAGAAAGGAATCAACGGCGGCCGCCGACTTCGACTCGCTAGACACGGTCATTGACCTTTGTGACTTTAATACTGTACAAATAGTATCAATATTAAACCTCGTTATTTTTTGTCAGCGTTCATGGTGATTGGTCAAAAGACCAGGTGAGAACAATCCTTTGTGTTGGAACAAAAGTTTTAACTTTATACGTATTGAAATGACTAATTGTGATGTTTCTTTCTTTCTTATTACAGTGTCCATACGGCCAAGTACGGGTTACTAACAAGGCACTGAAAAAGACGTTCAACTCATCATTTTATGACTAGGGTTTCTCCTGAATTAGGGACTTGAAATTCATTTTATGGCTACATGTGCACTCAACCTAGAAAATATCGGGTGAACAAAAAAATGGGTGCACCATAAAGAATAATGTTGAATAACTTTGGTGTCAGGAATATGCTGTATACTAGTATCATATTACGGTGTAGTATGCATTTATTATCTTGACATAAGTATTGTGTATCATCAACTCTAGACATAGAATAAAGAGACTCTTTTTACACAATCAAGAGGTTTATTCAGGTTTATTTCGCCTTCAGCTGTCGCCTTCCTTGAGGCAAATCTGACTGGTAGCGCCCCCTTGCAAAATACGATAAAAGTGCAAGCAGTCTGATGCGTTACCTTTACTTCATAAAGTACCACGGTGAAGTTATGTACGTTCAAACTTTGTGTACTTTGTGCCATTAGTTTGAGCTCTTGGGAGCAGATGTCATCATTCAATGAAAAGTAGGCCTGATGTAATACTACAATGTAATGTTGCATATAATTGTATTTCCCTTGTCACTGACTTTTCCTTAATGTAAATCTCCTCCACTGCTGACGTTGTATATGACGTTGTCATGATCTTCTCACATACAATGACTTACAGTCAACAGTAAGAGGAATTAAAGATGTACATACATGTCTGACATCATAAATGTTTATGTTTATGTCTGATTTTCCTTTGAAATTCTCTCAAACTGCAGGAAATGCCATTTCAAAAGGTTCAATTTGCAAAATATTCTGGGGGAGCTGGCTAGGAATCGTGTGTGCCTTCTGGTCCCACTGACAGTAGGAAGAACTCCCCATTCAAAATGCTGACGACGGGTCTTACATTTCCAATGACAGGACATAAAATTCTGTCCTACAGCTACAGAGGAAATTGGAACTGAATGAGTTATAGTTTATACACTGGTGATTTTTAATGTCACTCAAAGTTCTTTTAAGAAATCTGAAAAAAACTTGTTATATATAAAGATGAACGCCAAGAACTATTCGATACTTTGCAATTAGACAGGATATGTAAGAAAATGTCAAAAGTAGGACACGTTTAAAATGTCATGCAAGAACGAATGTATAGCAGACAAACTATGTAATTTTGCTTCCACATGTTTCAAAAAGAGACAAGAAAGGGCAACTAACAGTAGATGATAGGTAGTATATAGTATTGTTGTAATGTATAGATTCCTAGCACTTTACATTAGATTATAGCGCTCCAGTATGCAGTACTCAAGTTTTGCATACTGCGTGTCCTCTTGTGCATTTAGCCCATCTGGGCAAGAACATGCTACAAAGATTCTTAACAATTCTATATATTGAGTGGTTAGCTTCGTTCTTCAGTAGTAGTGGCCAAAGATTGGACATAGAATTAGAAAAAACACATTTTAAAATCTTACTATTCTTACACCGAATCTTACAAGGCAATTACGTACACCAAATCTTACCAGATTTTTACGTATCCAGATTCACTAGCGCTGAATTTTGTTACTATTTTATTACTATTAATGCACCCATGGGATTTCATTGGAGGAAAAACTAAGACCTTTCAAAAGCAATACTAGTAATACAAACAGGCTAGGAAGGAAGAAAAAAAGGACGGGCTTTTTCAAATAATTACATCTTTTGAAGTTATCCCCCGTGCCTCCCCCCCCCAAAAAAAGAAGCCGACTGTCCCCAGAACGCCAGCAAAGGAGGCTTAACTTTCTGTGTGTCACACATAAATAAGCACAATTATAATAAAAAATAGAAATGATTACTATCATCACCCATCACTCAATCATGACAGGGGTCAACATTGTTTAGCGGATACGTGATAATGATAGAGCGTCTTTTGTTTTCTTCAGTAGACCCTCCAGATGTGTTTAGAGTGATTACAGCGTCCATTGTTTATTCATAATTGCCCCTTCATGATTTGCTACCACCGCTTTGTCTGTGACTGCATCGGCGTGGAAGATTAAAAGGTAAACTCTTCCATGATTGGCCCTTCTGGAGATCCGTTAACAATTCCTCCGTAGGTGTGTCGTCATTCCCAGTAAGTGGTCAACTTAATTACCAACCAATCAGCAGTACCCACCTTCACTTATTGCTCATCTGCATAATTTCTGTGTGAAAGAGTACTACAACAAATGTAGTATATATTTTGCTTCCCGTCTCCATATCTTTATCAAGACATCTGACATCTTCGAAAGAGTCATCTGACGAGCCAGGGACTTCCCTAAGGTATGTACCGTCTTGAAGTTACTCGGCCAGCTAAGCCCATCGGTGTACTGTCTGTGCATGTGTTAACATTTAGAAAGATCATGAGAATCGCTCCTTTATTTTGAGCTACAATGTAGACTCCCTGGCTTGTACGTTTGGCTCATGAAGCAAGCCTGTACGTGCCACCTCAGGGAGAATGGCACGCGCGATTGTAAAAATCCCAGAGACGGTGCCCATGATGTCAAGAAAGTGTTGAAGATGAATATCATTCTCTTATGACATGTCCAGCTTATACTCAGATAAATAGACAAAAATTAATGAATATAGTCACAAGTAAATCTAGTAAAATTTGCCAAAGACAAACATAGGCACTTTCAATCTACTTATGTCATGCTCTGACTACATATCTTTGTACCTAGGCCAATATCACGGTATGTAGCGCTTTAGAAAAGAGAAAAAGAATTGTGACAGACAGAAATGTTAAATGTACATTATGTCGATTTACCATTTACGTTATATTGTTATAGTTTCTAGTAATAGACTAGTATGATTGTAAAGACCACATTGTCATCCTTTACATACATTGTAGCATCGACGTCGAGCGATAAAGATCATTCATTCATTCAAAAAATTCACACAAACTACTCAAGGCCACCTACAACAGATTTAACACACATTACAGTCTTGACCTGCCATGTACTTGGACCACTTCTTGTGGGTGTAGTTCTGGTATTGCTTCTAGACCTAACTAAGTCTTGTTTAAACACAATTCATACTACTTATTAGATATATTTGAATTATGCTTAACCTTCTATATTGATTGCCTATTCTGTGTATTTTTATGCTTGTTGTCATTGACTATGTAAATTTTGATGTTGTATATGTGTTTTTGTATGGGGAGGGCAAGTTGTAAAGGTGCATGCGCACCTGTTTTGCCCTCCCTTTCACTTTGTGAAAAATCAAAATAAACAAATAAACAAAATTTTACAAACTCATAAACGTGACATTTTCCCAGCCGGCCCGTACCAGTCACCATGCCCTGTCACCGCCTGTCCAGTCGTGCCCTGCAGGAATTTGTCAGCACCTTCCGACTGACCAGGGACTTGACAGTGGGACCCTCAACTGCCAAGGTTGCTCTTTCATAAGGCCATGTTGATTTGATTATATGGATGACATCCTCCGGGAGCCCCAAAACTGATGCGCGCGTGCGAATAAAAAAAAGTTTTGCAAAAAAAAAACTTGTTTTCATTATGAAATCTACGTGGTCATGAGGGTTGAACAAATGGGACAGAATATGGTTTGGCGAATAATCTAATCTTCAAGTTCATTTCCTTAGAATTTCGTCTTTTTTCGTTTGATTTTGGCATTCGAATTCTACGACATTGGTATAGTTTTTACTTATTTTTTTGTAACTTACGGTATATTTTTGCTCATTTTGCAACTGTTTTGTACGATTTACAGTATGGTTGAAAACTTTATTTTTTGGAAACGGCCGAAAATTCATGCGCGCGCGGATGTCATCCATATAATCAAATCAACATGGCCTAAGGCCACAGCAAGTAATTTTTATGGATGACATCAGCGCGCGCATTAATTTTTGCCTGCTTTTGGAAAAAAGAAGAAATTTTGTTGCCTTCTGATAGTGGTCACCATGCCGAAAATGGGCAAAGACGTCTGTTGCCATGCCAGAAGGTGGATGGCAGATAACTATAAAGAGAGAAGACAAGAAAAGGCTTTGATTTAATGTTTTGTTTCTTACTTTGATGCAGTGATATGTGATGCTGGCTGTGTATATGTGATGTTCCCACTGAATAAAATCATTTGTACAATAATTGAGTCAACATGTTAAAATGTAGGAACCTTGTTTTTTTCGGCCCGCCTTGTTTTATTTTTTCGCCCCTCGCTTTAGATTTGTAGTCTGCGAAGGATGTCATCCATAAAATTTAGTTGCTGTGGCCTCAGCTGAAACTCAATTTGTGTTGCTTTTCATATGTCATGATGTTTAGATTGGCTAGCTCTGGTCTAAGCATATGCACATTTGTACACTGTGGTTTCCTTTGATAGTCACCACGGCTATAGATGTTAGCTTTTAATTTCATGCCGTTTGATCATAATATTAATTGATTACTGTAAACTTGTTCTTGGGTATCAATTTGATTATAACTTGATATTCACATCAACATCTTCGGTATCAAATCAAATCTTCATTAAACATCAACATGGCAGACGTGCCGAAGTGCTTTGGGCACGTCTGAATTGCATTGACATTTTACAATTATACAACATACAAACATACATATATATATATATATATCCAATACACGTTCACAAGCTTAAGTCTTTTACGGCTCTCACAATGAAGGAGTTTTTGTGTCTGTCCGATCGGCTCAATTTGATTATAACATGATATTCACAACTCAAGCAACTGGATATGATTTTGGAAACGGTCAGACGTTTCAGCTAGTATCCACTAGCTTTATATTATCGTCAGTGACTGAGAGACCAGAGGGGAAATGCAGGTTCATATAAGCACGAACTATTGATTGATATGCAAATAAGTGAACACAATTTTTTGTAAGTCCAAAATTAAACAAAAGTTCGACAAGACAAGATGATGCAAATTAGTAAAAAAATTCCCGTTGTTACAGAACAGGAGCTTAAGTGTTGTCTGTCCTCGGGGCTGGGAGCGCTATATCTATGAGAGATCTACCCGAAGCCCCCCTCCCTGTTGAGGGTGGGGTTTTACATTCTTTCATGAAATAATTTATGTTTATTCATTAGTTCTAGGGATTAAGTTTCTAAGCTTTCCGTTCACAATGTCCTTTATTTAACTTTTGTGACTTTACATGTGCAAACAACAAGTCAACAAATGAATCATCTAAAGTTATACATTATTTTAGCTCTACTACACTGCTAGGAACTACCTAGCGGGAAAGATCCCCGGTGAGCTGGTGATTGCTGTGGACAAGTGGCCAGACTACACAGCCGTCATGTGTGCATCAGGGAAGGAAACGTATAAGGTACATGCAAGTGAAAGATTGTCATTCTTCCTAAGGCCTGGTCGGTTCCTATAAGGCCACGGCAAGTAAATTTTATGGATGACATCCTTCGCATATTCCAAATGCAAATCTAATGCGAGCGGGCGAAAAAAACAACAAGACGGGCCGAAAAAAAACAAGGTTCTTACATTTACAATTTCAAATTTTGACTCAATCATTGTACAAATGGTTTTGATTCAGTAGCATATACACAGCCAACATCACATATCACTGCATCAAAGTAAGAAACATAACATTAAATCAGAGCCTTTTCTTGTCTCCTCTCTTCATAGTCATCTGCCATCCATGTTCCGGCATGGCAACAGACATCTTTGCCCATTTTCGTCATGTTGACCACTGTCAGAAGGCACAACACAAAATTTCTTGTTTTTTTTCCCCAAAATCAGTCGAAAATTAATGCGCGCGCTGATGTCATCCATAGAAATTTCTTTCTGTGGCCTAATTTCCAAATAAAAATATGGGGTCGTGTGGCGTAGCGGCAGAGTGCGTGCGCGACTCGGAACTAAGAGTCCCGGGTTCGAGTCCTGACATGCCACCTATCTTGTGCCCTTGGGAAAGGCACTTTACACGACTTTCCTCACTTAGCTCAGGTGTAAATGAGTATTGTCCTGTCATGTATTTGTCCCCTCTGTTGGTGGCGGCATTAATATAAGTTGAAAAAAAATGAGTGTGTCGTCACCACGTCTGGTGATTACATGTTGGAATAAAAAAAAAACCGAGCTAAGCTACCGGTCATAATCGCCATAAACCACGTCATTATCATTCAATGCGGCACACTCTGATTGGTGTCGTACATTGTACACAGCCCATGGGGACTATATATTGTATATCATTTGCCCGCGAGCTCCTTTGGACTTTTAATAAACTTGTATCTAATGCCCTTGTTATGATACTGTTTGTTATTCAATCCCTGACTCTCAATCTCTTTCCCTGTCTCGTTCATTTGACTTTATTTCATAAGTTCAGTTGACTTTATGTACTTTGACTTGACTTTATGTACTTTTCAGTTAACCTTGTGCAATTTTGACTTATATGTATCAATTATGTATTATGTACAGCCGAGGACTGTAAAATGTCCTTGGTACAGCGTTGTATTTAGCTCTTTACTCGATGTCTCCAGTTTGACTTTTGATCATGATATGGACTTGGATTCATGTTTCTAAGATTTCTGTACTTATGTTTATGTTTATGTCTATGTTCTGGTGTCTTATAAGCCCATATGGACTGGGCGCCAAAGAGTAGCAAGACACGAAAATAAAAATTCATTCATTCATTCATTCATTCATTCATTCATTCATTCATTCATTCATTCATTCATTCATTCATTCATTCATTCACTCACTCATCCATTCAGTCACTCACTCACTTATTCATTCACTCACTCACTCACTCATTCATCCATTCATTCATTCACTCATTCACTCACTCACTCACTTTCATTCACTCACTCACTCATTCATTCACTCACTCATTCATTCATTCATTCACTCACTCACTCATTCACTCACTCATTCACTCACTCACTCACTCACTCATTCACTCACTCACTCACTAATTCATTCATTCATTCCCAGTTTATGCAAGATATCGAGACCTACACGTTGTACTGGGAGAATAAGGACGCTCTTCTAAAACTCCTCCGTGACGACAAGCTGGTAGACTGGGACAAGAACTTCACCATTGCAGGTAAAAAGAAAAAAAGGCCCAACAAATTAAACAATTACAACGACAATGCTGCATATATGCCAAATACTAGTAGCCAACAAACTACATAAGTTTGCCTAAGATAGTTGATAGTCTGTCTTTAAATCGACCAGATGTACCTTTATAGTAATCCAAATTTGATTCCATCACGTCACCCCAACCTATGTATTTGATTTGTCAGCTATGCCTTGTACTTCTTGCCTTCTAGCTTCCTAGTTATGTTTTAGGACATTAGTAGTGATACATTGTACAATACAAAGTGTACTCATAATCCATGTCTACATTAGAACGTCACACGCAAAGATAGATTTTCGCACTCCAGTTCAAATGGAATTGGCACCTCATCTTCACCTGTTCCCTTACTCATCTTGAGGGCCAGGTACTATGATTCCTTCCAGTATGTACCTCGTTCTTTCTCTGTAAGCCTTCTGTGTAGGGTCAGCCAGGGACCTGCCTGTCCTACCCTGGATGCCAAAGTAGTATCGGGCCGTTGGCCGTTTTTCTTCGGCAGCCAAGAGCCCTTCTCCCGCCTATCTAAATTACTGCTACGGGGGAGTTGAGCCCGAGGGGTTTTTCCGGCCCCAGAATCGTTGAAAGGGCCAGCCAAACTCCCCCCGGGCTAGTCTCCCCGTAGTCCCCGATTTAGACTGGAAACGCTTAAGGGGTTTTGGCCAGGGAAACGTTTCGGAACGGTTAACCGTTCCCGGTCTAAAGAGGAAAAAACGGTTTGTTATGGGTTTTCGCGGACCGTTTCTGAAAACCACCTCCATCGACCGTTTCAGAACCCTTCAGCGGGGGGGCCGAAACGCTTTTTGCTAGGTCTAAAGTCAAAGGGTTTCTTGAAACGGTAAACCAGGTCACATGTCATATGCTAATCACATGCTAATAAGCCCGCGCGCGTCCATTTTCTGGTAGATTCGCGCCATATTCGATTGTGTCCATTTTCGCCATTTTATATCATGTATTTCTCGAATTTTCGTCATCCTTTATGTCTGGGGGGATGGCAGAAGGCCAGGGGAGGGTCTGGACCCAAGAAGAGATCCGCTGCTTGATCAGCTTGTGGGCCGATCAAACTATACAATCCCGCTTGGAGACCTCGCGTAATAGGGAGGGCATACAGATGCTTGTGGACGGGCTGGCGGCTGAGGGGTATTTACGCACCCCAAAGCAGGTTCGGGCGAAGTTCAAGGCCCTGAAACACAAGTATCATAAGGCCAATGAGGCAAACCGTAGAAGCGGTTTGGGGAGGTCATCATAGGTCACTGTGGGTCAGAAACATCCTGCGCCACGGGCGGCCCGAAACGCTTCCGCCTCTGTGTCTAAAGACGAACCGTTTTCTGTGGCGAAACGTTTCGTACCGTTTCGAAACGGTATATATAATAAGACACGCGGGCGAAGGGCTCTTGGATGCCGAAAGAAATTGCTAGCGGCCCGAAACGAGTTGGGCATCCAGGGTATGCCTGTCCATGCAGCCCCTGACGTCGTCTCCTCATCTCCCCTCTACTCCTGATCACTCCTGGTACCACAAATCTTTCCTTACGGGATGTGGGTTGTGATGTTCTGGGCTCTTATAACATGTCCAAACTCCATTCCTCTACTCTGCAGCGTTTTCTGAGAAAGGACTGCCCGTCCTGAGCCATGTGTGCCGTGAGAAGGGAAAGCCGGTGCCGCAGCAGGATAATCTGGTTCAGGTTCACACGGCCTTCCATCCCAACGTCCTGCCCGTGCCTGCAACTGACAGGTAATTACTACATTGATTGTCCTAAAGATTGTAGGCGTCCCCAAAAGACCCTTCTTGTAGACAATGGCCAGCTGTAGATTAAATGTTTGGAATGATTATGACTTGTTTGGAATTTTTTTCTCTTTAGGTCACAGCAAGTAAATTTTATGGATGGCATCCTCCGCAGACTCCAAATCTGATGCGAGCGGGCAAAAGGTTTCTACCTTCTCAAATTTTGACTCAATATTTGTACAAATGGTTTTGATTCAGTGAGAATATCACATATACACAGCCAGTATCCATATCACTGCATCAAAGTAAAAAACAAAACATTAAATCAGAGCCTTTTATTGTCTCCTGCCTTCATAGCATCCACCCTCCGGCATGGCAGCAGACATATTTGCCCATTTTCGGCATGTTGACCACTGTCAGAGGGCAACAAAATTTCTTGTTCCCCCCCCCCCCAAATTAGGCGAAAATTAATGCGCGCGGTGATGTCATCCATAAAAATTACTTGCTGTGGCCTTACTCGGGTTGCTCTATTGATCAGTCATCATCTATTTACAGAATCGTTCAGTCCTTCAATCTTGCCGATATTTTAGGTCTCCCGATAGCTCCGTGACTTTGGGACGACTTGGTCCGGAGCACGCAGAGCTTGTGAACCGTGCCTGGTCGTGGGGAGGACCGCCCGAGGTGCTGGAGTTCATCCGGTACGTGCTGGCAACATTCCCCTCCAAATGCGCGTACAACAAGCAGGGGGAAACCCTGGCGTTCACCGTTCTCCAACCCTGGGGAGAGTACGGGATGACTAGGGCAATGGCGCCCGGTCGGTACGGCACTTTTGTCGTGAACAGTATGATCAACGAGGTTCTGAAGACAGGTGATCTACCGTACTGCTTCGTAGAGCGAAACAATGAAAAGGCGAGGAAAATAGTGGATGAAGAGTTGGACCCGAAATGGGACCCTTCCGGAAGTTGCTTCTATGTAAGTCTGTAAAAGACAAGCAGCTTAACTTTGGGTCTACAGGTCCTCTAGTTTGGGCAATGTTTTTTTTAGAAAGAGGTTGGAATATAGCAAAACAAACAATCATGCACAATCCATTTTTTGGCACGGGGTGTGTGGTGAAGCCATCTGCTGCATTTGCTCCCGAGCAAATGTCGGCCTTTCTAGTTTATTGCTGTTTTTATGACGAATAAAGAAAGTTTATTGCAAATTCATTGCTTTTATTTTATTCAATTTGTATTTCCTAAGTACATTCCAAATCTAGGTATCTTGTTTTTTTCGGCCCTTCATATGTTTTTTTTATCGCGCTTTCGCATTAAATTTTGCTGCAAAATGTATACTCTCGAGCGCACCAACTCCCTCGGCATGTTATCTCTCTATAATTCTAAATGAGGCCGTGTCTATGTGGAATCACCCAAGGCGCGATTCTGGCAACTCACATTCCTCACATCTGGTCCACGTGCCACACACACCTGTGAAACCGTGTACGAACACAATTCGCTTGAGCTACATTTATTGCTGTTTGATGATAATACGCAAGGTGGCGTGTTATTAATGTCAGAGGTCAACGACCTGCTTGCTGATGCCCCCCTCCCAGCGTATCTCGGCCGAATGCCGACGTGGTCCCGCCCTAGAACGGACACATTATTTGACCATTACTGCTGTTTAAGATGCTGCCACGTAAAAGTTGGTATTGTATATAAATAAAGAAATATCACCCCGTAATCCATGAGCAGGCGAAGTTACATTGAAATCACATTGCGTTCAGACGCAAATCGCGATGCGGGGAAACCGATTCCAAACCACCTCTAGAAGTGGCTTGGGATCGAGGCGCTTTCAATGTGATTTCGGAGCGTTCAGATGGAGCCACTTGAAACCGGCTTCGGGGTAAACCACACGCCTTGGGTGATTCCACATAGACACGGCCTCAGGCGTGGCAGCTCATTACCATTGTCAAACAAAACATATGCTTTACTTACAGCGCATCGGAAAGAAGTCACAGGCTTAGATTGATTTGTTCAATTCAAGGTAAAAAAAAGAAACTGTCTGCAACTACCATATTTCATATACCATATACTAGTATTTCTTTTGTTCATCCTTACCACGACCTACGAAATACGACGAAGTTCACTGTTTTGGGGAGTTAACACGGCGATTTGTTCATTATGTTTTAGTTAGATTTTGACAAAAAATTATTTCTGTTCTGTCAAGGCCAGTGCGCTTTGAAAGCAAAAACCACGTTCTTCCAAATAGATCATCACAACCTCGTCAGTTTGAAAATACTGTACAGTGGTTAATTATAATCTCCAAGCAGATCTTTCGGTGGCAAGACAGTATCCATTGGACAATGTATACATTGGCTAATGGACACTCCTCTGGCCAATGGATACATACTGTCTTGCCACCGAAAGATCTGCTTGGAGATTAGTTAATTACCCGTGTCTGTAAGATGTAAGATGTGAAAAAAAACGTCCTTTTTCTTTCTTCCTGCTTTACCTGTTTGTTTATGCTATAGAAGCAGGGCCACGTGCTTCAAATCAGGGATCATCATACCCTCGCCTGTTTGTAAATTCAGCACAGTGGTTAATGACCTGTGACAGGGTACGGTTTTAGTCAATGTAAGATTTGGTGCAGGATTCCAAAATGTGTTTTTCATGTCCAATTTCCTGTCATATATATAGCTGTAGGACAGAATTTTATGTCCTTAATTTTGCAGCAATTGCCTTATACTATAAACCCAATAAAACTAACGCGGGATCGCACAAAGTTTAAACGGATGCGGCGTCAACGTCAGACCAAAGACGCCGTCAGTTGTTGGAGGAGGAGCGCCCTCTGGCGTCCTGAAGGTGAAGGACTGCAGCAGGGTCGAGAAGAACAGGAAAAGCTCCAT